TTTAAAAAATCCAATCACATAGCAAAAAATACAAAACTTCCCTGCAAGATTTATGCAAAATGCTTCCTTTTGTCAAAAGCAATTTTGATAGATATTTTGTCCTTAGTTTAGCAATATTTTTTCTTATCCTTTGAGCTATTCACAAATAGCCATAAATTATTTTTCTATGTATTCGCTCATTTTGAACTATTCATTTTCTAATCTTGAACTATTTTTATTGATAAATGTTCAAATGAACAACATATAGTTCCAATGAGCGAAAAAAACTAGTTCAAATGCTCACAGAATGTTTAAATTTGAGCTACTACACGTGGTACCACATGCAATAGTTCAAAAAGTCAATAATCAAACGGCATCCGCATCTGAGATTGGCACAACATTTTATTTAGTCTTTCTGAAAGACGACATTTAGACAGATCATATATTAAGCTTACTTAGAAGACGACGTCCTTTCTTTGCATTGATAAATGATTCCCTACTCTCCCTACAATCCAACACATTTTCCTCCTGAAATTAATAAAAGACCAGCAGTGACCCGATCCATGTCATGATTCACAACAGTACCCTTGAACGCGTTGACTGATCCGAGTATGATTTAGATAACAATGTTTTAACGTTAAAAACCGATTATTTTCAATTGTGGCTTCTCTACAAAAGTTACTTGCGCCTTTCTACTGCAGGAAAACATAAAAGAATCATCAGAATTAAACACTTTTAAATTTAGAAAAACGATAATATCTTCCACATTATTGATTGGATAAAGGTTCCATGGGTACTGTCGTGAATCAGAAGTTATTAGCTTTGAATCGAGGGTCACTTGAATTTACACTTACATTACAGTCCCTTGAAAACAATTTACTTCCGGTCCAAACTTAAACTATAACAGACCGTCAATTTAGAAAGTTTCATTAAAGTTTCCCTTTTGTGGGTACATTGTATTAGGGCACATCTCCCCTCGCATTTCATATTTTCAGGAATACATAATAATACATAATAATACATAATACATAATAATACATAATAATACATAATAATACATAATAATAGATAATAATACATAATGATACATAATAATACTTAATAATTTAGGAACAAGAACATAACACATCTATAACTATTGTAATATTTAAAGGCGTGGTCCTTTGTTCTAATCTTCAACTCTTGCTATATACCTAAAATCAGAGCAGAGTAATTAACCTGAACTGATTCATTAAGATTGATCAGTGCACCCTAGACCTTTGAACCGAACAGACGTATGAGTTAAGCTCCGTTTGTTCAACCAAAGGCTAGGGGACGGGCACTTCATGGACAGCTCTCAGAAGGCTTACAGCATGTGGACTTACATGATTATATCTACATGATCATATCTTCAGGAATACAATAAACCATTGATGAGACAGATATCTCCGCTTACAACAGATCAGAGGAACAAACCATTGATGAGACAGATATCTCAAGTTACAACAGATCAGAGGAATAAACCATTGATTAGATAGATATCTCAGGTTTACAGTAGAATCAGAGATATGTGGTTCCACCTCAGTACAGCTGGTTCAACTACCCACACACTCTAATACTCCAGATGTTTCTATGGTCAGAAAAACTGGAGCTATAGAGCAGACAATGGGATCAGAGCAATGTAGTTCCACCTCTATACAGCTGGTTCAACTACCTACACACTCTAATATCCCAGGTGTTCCTATGGTTAGAAACACTAGAGGCTCCGAGGATTGCTGGAACTATAGAATGGATAACAGAATCAGAGCAATGTAGTTCCACCTCTATACAGCTGGTTCAACTCCCTAAACCCTCTAATATTCCAGGTGTTTCTATGGTTAGAAACACTGTGGACTCAGAAGATAATACAGGCCAATGAATCCAGGTGAAAGGAGATCATGAGGATCTATCAAGTAGATGGGAGATCAACCGAGATGCAGAGCATCCTACAGATCAAGGAGATAACAATTAGATGGGAGATCAACAGAGATGCGGAGCATCCAACAGATCAAGGAGATATCAAGTAGATGGGAGATCAATCGAGATGCAGAGCATCCAACAGATCACAGAGATATAGAGCAGACAGTAGATCAACAGAGATGCAGAGCAGACTACAGATAATGTGGATACTGCAGATATTGTAGATACTGCAGATATTGTGGACACTGCAGATATGGAGGATACTGCAGATACTGTGGATACTGCAGATACTGTGGATACTGCAGACATTAGGAATGCTGCAACGACTGTGGATACTGCGGATATTGAGGATACTGCAGATACTGTGTAAGTTGCAGATACTGTGGAGACTAGAGATCCAGAGCAGATTGATAGAGAGCTAGGGTGGATCACAAAGATCACCAGCTATATGAATCACAGGAGAACTGCAAGTATGAGATCATAGATCTACAGCAGATTGACAGAGAACTAGGATGATCATAAATCACCAGTTACAAGTATCACAGGAGAAGATCATAGGTCTGTAGCAGATTGATAGATAGCTAGGATTGATCAGGAGATCACCAGTTTTATTATCTATAGAAGGATCAGCTGAGACCACATCTAGCCCAGTAGGGAACAGAGGCTCAGATGAACTACCGAGGGACTCTTCCTACATAAGGGCAAGTGGGGACTTGCCTAACCACTGAGGGACTCTCCATATATAAGAGTCAGTGGATACTTGCTTAACCACTGAGGGACTCTTCATATATAGGAGTTAGTGGAGACTTGCTTAACCGCTGAGGGACTCTTCATATATACGAGTTAGGGGAGACTTGCTTCACTGCTGAGGGACTCTTCCTCATATAAGAGTTAGTGGAGGCTTGCTTTACCGCTGAGGGACTCCACAAATATATATAATATGATTTAATATAAATAAATATTAACAGATATATTTGTACCAATAAAATGTGTCATGTTAAACCACCCACTTATTCAAGACCTTGAGAGATAGATATTATACATAAGGAGAGAGGTTTGGGTGTGTTATGAACTGGTACTGGGAATGAAAGTGAAGTCTTGTATTAACCCTCAAATGATGGGGGACAACGATTGATCTTGATTTCCCTTGGATTTATGTCTGGGATTGTAACGATATCAAGGGATTAAATGTTACACTATTGGTTTATTCATTTTTACTAAAGTTTGAAATATTAAAAAAGAAAAAAAACATTTTAACTTTTTATCAATTTTTTAATCGTTATTTAATATTTTATTTGATAAAATGTTTTATTTTAAATGAACAAATTAAATTTAAAGGAGTCCGCCATTTACATCTATACAGGTCCCAGTTATATACTTCGCACTAAAAATAAAAATACTGATTAATTTAACTGTTAATTAATATGTAGGGACCATTTTTGCCAAATAACATGAGCAGAAAAAAATAGCACAGAAAAAAAACATATTTTTGGCTTTGCCACAAACTTAAATTTTCTAATTCTTACATCTCTGCAACCCGATGGTGTAAACCTTTGATATTTCAAACTTTAATTATTTAATCTAAAAGAATTTTAATAGTTTTGAATATCTGAGGTCTACGACATCAGGTTGCAAAGATATCGGGATTTGATCATCAGAGTTTGTGGCTAAGACTCAATTCCTTTGAATAGCTAAGCATTCTTATCATATTTTGGTCTAAGGATTGTGACTATACATCATTGCAGGCAACTATTCCTGGTCTCGGGCTGTTTTGTTTTGTAATTATTGTCAATTTAAAGATTTATTTATTGAGTCTGGAAAATATCTTTTGCCGTGTTTCAAAATTTATCATGTAATCAATTCTGAACTAATTTAAAAATATTAAAACCTTTAAATTTATGTAAAAATATGGCAATGCTGTATGTTTGCAACGTATTATAGAAGGTTAGCTCTTAACCTTAATCTTGTAATGAGAAATAAATAATTCAAATATTATAATTGGAAAAATTATTAAAAATGATCAAACTATGAGTTAAATTAAAAAAGATGAAGTTCTTTATATTCCTTGATATTTGTTTCTACTATAAAGATTTCAGATGAATAATATGATTTAAATGACTGTTGAATATTTAGGTAGATGACAAGGGATAAAATAACAATTTTCTAGGAAGACTTTACATATGTTCTTGATCACGTCTTGGGATATATTCTTTTAAAAATCTCTATCTAGAAAAAGTAATTTCGCACCCGGATGTTAGGTATGTTTTTTTTGGGATTTGTTTAGCAAATCAGGTAAAATAAATAATTTGTTAGGGAGAAAATGACTGAACTTTTGAAAAAGACAAGAGAATCCAAAAAAAAAACCTGGATCAAAAGTCATTTCGGATGAAATTGCCTTATATATGGTAACTGCTACATACCTCAAACATCACCAAAATATTTTAAGATTCCCTTAAAATTAAAAAATTAAATTAAAAAATAACTGACTGTTGAGACGATAGAAAAGCTACTGTTTCTGCAATATCCTCTGGTTCTCCCAGATTTCCTAGTTTTCTACCCAGAAGCCTCTCAAGTAGTCTAAATAATTAGGGTATAGATTTCAAAAATTATCCCCACCCCCTGTCCAGGAAATAATTTCAAAATTTTTGGGGACAAATTCAACATCGCCTTGCAAGTTCATCTCTTTTTTTGAACCCAAAAAAATCATTTATTTCTTTGATTCAAAATGTGAAATTAGATTTTGAGATCAATAATCTCAACCAACATGATTTAAACTAATTTAATGATTTTTTTCAAATTTTTTTTTTACCTGGTACTCAATGTATAGTTTTCATCTTTGTTTGAGTTGACTAAAGGAATCTGGGTTCTTATCATCAATTTCACCTGAATAATATTAAAAGTATTAAAAGTACTCATACCAATAATAATAATAATAAACATGGATAAGGATGATGTAACAATATTTAATAATAATAGTAACTATTTAGTAACTAATAGTAACAAAAATTCACTATAATAGTAATAATCTATTTACATAACTTTGAATAACATTTTAATTTACAATTTACATCTTAAATAAGTAATTTAAAATCTACTAAAAATATATATTTTCAACTAATATTGATAAAACAAGTAATTCAATTCAATGATAGTTTGCATCTTAGCTACAATAGTTCTTTTTAAGAAAAAAACTTAAACTTTAAAAGTCATAAACAAAATAAATTTGAGGTATTTTTTAATCCTCTAGGCTAGCCATAGACAACAATTTCTTAAAAAATTACTATGTAAAAACAAACTTTTTCCCCCCAAACTAACAAATTAATTTTTCACAAAAAATATTCCGAATCATAATGGAGTTACAATGTTACAGGGTTACCCAAAAAGGATGAGACGTCAGCTAAAATTGTATTCATGCTCCCAATCCCAGCAACTGATAACTTATTGCTTTCTTCGCCAAATCATTAAAAATACCATAAAAACTATATTTAAGGCAGAAGACTGAATTCAATCTTGGGATTGTCTTATGTGATGAGTTTCAAGTCGTCTTTACAATCTCATCCTTTGTGTGTAACCCTAAACATCAATGTAGCATTAGAACTGTTTCAGACACCCAAACCACCAGCTACTTCAATAGAGGCCCCAGTTATATACTTTGATCTAAAACAAATCAGTTGAAGCATCTTAAAATCATATTTAGCTGTCAACATCCATTTAATTAAAAGAGACAATTTGGGGCAAGGGTAGGCCATTAGAGAATTTATATACTGTACAAAATTTTCACAAAAAGTTCATTGTATATTATAGAATTTGGTGCATTCTGAGTACAAATAGTACCTTACCTTGATTTGGGGTGTCAAAAAAATAGACAATATAGCAGGATTAAAGATGAAAAATAATATCTTTAAAGTAACAACAGATGTTAATTCTCACCAGTTTCCTATAGATTTTGTCTGATCAAGGATAATCGACATATCCTTATTTTTCTGGCTGAAATTTTATCTCAAAATTTTATCTCATTTCTCTATAAATGTGACTTGCAGATTTATGAAATCAATGAAAGAAAACCACAGAATTTAACACCCACTTCAGATTTTTATACAACAATATTTTCAACATTAAAAGACATAGAACCCATAATTTAGAAAACTTTCTTAATTAACTTCTGTTTTTTTTTAATGTTTATTTGATCTCATTTTATATTGTATAGAATCTAGGCTAGAGGTTTATATAGAGGTATATTTTTTAAATGAAGGGTTCACTTAAAATTAAGTCTTTAGCTGTTTTAATTACCTCGATGAAGCTAGAAAAAGACAAGTATAAGCAATATCTTCAGGTTGTCCAAGATGACCCAAAGGTATTTCTGCAACTATTTTTTCCTTCACCTGTAGTAAAAAGGTCAAATCAGAGTTTGAGTTTTGGAAATAACTCATAGCTTGCTTAGACTTGTTTTAAAGGGTATACACTACAGAGAGGGTGGGGGGGGGGGA